ATTATGATAATATATTAACATTAGTTTTATTTTATCCTGTATCGGCAAATATTAAATTCAACATTATTTTGTTCGGTAATTGATTATGTTTGTTTTTAGCGGATTAAAACAAGCCTTTACGAATTTCGGTGTTTTGATTGGGAGTTTTGTTTTAGTGTTGTACGACTTCTATAAAGGAATTACGGTTGCTACAGCCGGAGGTTGCAAAAAAAAAACGAACGTTTATTTAAACTAAATTTAATTATAAGAATTACAATAGGCTGGAGTGTCTTCAGCTCCGACCCCTATGAGGAGGCAGTCTCCTCCCGGTGATGGTCACGGGGCGACCTAAGGGGGTTGAGGCTTGCCGCACGCTACCGTCACTCTAGCGCGCTGGCACCAGGAGGACGGGACGGCGCGTCGGCGGCTGCGGACTGCGATGCGGTCCGCATTTTCGTCGTCGCTGTCGTCGCCGAACATACTGTGGAAGAGCAACCCGGTCGGCGGTGTATCGCGTTCCGACCCGGCAGGCTGGTTCCAGCCCAGCGGGGTATCCCGGAACACCAGCGGCACCGCCTGGCGACTATCGCCTATCGCCTCGACGACCCGTCGGTCGGGCGTCCTCGGGGTGGCGCCGCGTGTCTGGTTGTAGTGTTGACCGCAGGAACCCCCCAACTCTAACCGGGTTCTGACCCCGGACGGAGATCAGACGTCGGGTGTAAGAGTGCAGGGGAGTCGTTTAGTGGGTGGGCCCTAAAATCCTTGCGCCCGCGATCTGCTCTCAACACCTGCAGATCGTTGAGTCTCACATACGCGCGGGGACCCGGGGTTCAGCACCCGGCCCGAAAAAAATAATAATGCTGGAGTGTCTTGATCGAACCAAGATCCAAGAGTGCTGTCTCTTATATATGAAGCGATGTCCTCATTGCTGGTCACGTAGGCCACTCACGTTGTTCTGACAGTGCGCATCGTGTCAGGCGGCGGTCGTTGACCAGAAAATGCATACTGCTGGTTTCCATACACTAGCCCTTACGCAACACTGGTAGTGGCTGTTACCAGAAAGTGCATGTGAGCGATTCCCATGTACTAGCCTTGCGTAACAAAGGTCTACACACGGTTTGTTTTATTGCGTTTTGCAAATTTTTTGCGGAGTATGACAGTTTCTTCGTATAGATCTACTCGTCTGCTGTTTTCTTTTGGTTACAGCGTACATGTTATGTCCGCCTGACGGAGGTTACAAAAAAAACTCAACTACAAAGTTACAATTGTTTTCTTTTTTTTTTTTTTTTGTTAAATGTTTATTAACAATTACGCCACGTTAACTGGTCCCGTGCTAAGTTCGTAAAGAACTTGTGTTACAAGTACCAGATAACGGAAATAAATATAATATTTTTATTATACACATACACATATTTAATATACACCCATAACCCTGGAGAGACATTTATATTTATCATACAAATATCTTCCCTTGGCGGGATTCGAACCCGCGACCCCCTTGTGTAGTGACCATGTCACTTACCACTACACCAGACGGCCGTTATTACTAGATAAACAATAAATAAATTATTAATTAATTAAATCTCAAAAAAAAAACTTATTACTTGAATTAAAAAAAAAACTCTATTGATGACTACTTGCGAAGAGTGGATTCGCGGCATAGGGCAGCTTTCTGGTCTTAAAAAAAAACCTATGTGCTCTGGGAGTTGACTCTGGACCGTTCGATCCGTGGCGCGTGGGGGTCTTCGCTGAGGAAGTCTCCACTGCCTGATGGGGAGCTCGGAGGCGGTGCGTGACGGTCCACAATCCATACTTGGACGTGCAGTCCGTACTTCGCAATCCGTACGGTGGACCCCCAGTNTTCGCGGCACAGGGCAGCTTTCTGGTCTTAAAAAAAAACCTATGTGCTCTGGGAGTTGACTCTGGACCGTTCGATCCGTGGCGCGTGGGGGTCTTCGCTGAGGAAGTCTCCACTGCCTGATGGGGAGCTCGGAGGCGGTGCGTGACGGTCCACAATCCATACTTGGACGTGCAGTCCGTACTTCGCAATCCGTACGGTGGACCCCCAGTTTCCAAGAGGGTTAAAAAATAATGCAATTTGCTTTTAATTTTCCTTTTTAGTTTTAGTGTAGCACTGATTGTACTACTTTTAAAATGAGAACAAATAATCACGAATATGTAAATAATCTAGATCTTTTGTATGAGACGAGATAGAAATATGGAAAGAACGGTTCAACCGAAGCAAGTCACTACTACCACTTAACCCAAACTACTTAATCTGGCCATAAATACTGTTACAATTAAAAATAAACAAAATATTACACTTGAATTTGGAATCTGTCATTTGTATATGATTGCTCATTGAGTTTTATCATTTTGGCGCTAATACATTGTACAATATTTTGCGATATTAAAATGGAGTGGGGTGATAAAGAGAACCGAATCGCTGTGATTGCATTACACAAAGTAGGTATGGAGCCAAATGCAATATTTAAAATTCTCTATACGCTTGGTATTAGTAAAATGTTTGTGTACTGGGCTATTAATAGGTGCAATGAGACCTCCTCTGTTTGTGACAGAAAAAGATCTGGCCGTCCACGTAGTATTCGTCCGAAAAAGTTGGTCAAAGCAGTAAGGGAAAGAATTCGAAGAAATCCTGTTCGAAAGCAAAATATTTTATCTCGGGATATGAAGATAGCACCTAGAACCATGTCGCGTATTTTAAAAGATGACTTAGGACTTGCAGCCTATAAGAGATGTACTAATCATTTCTTAACCGATAATTTAAAAGAGAATAGGGTGGTAAAATCGAAACAACTACTGAAGCGGTACGCGAAGGGAGGTCATAGAAAATTTTTGTTTACGGATGAGAATTTTTTTACAATTGAGCAACATTTTCACAAACAAAATGAATGTATTTATGCTCAAAGCTCTAAGGAATCTTCCCAATTAGTCGGCAGAGTGCAACGTGGGCACTATCCGACTTCAGTGATGGTTTGGTGGGGTATTAGCTATGAAGGAGTGACTGGGCCATACTTTTGTGAAAAAGGTATCAAAACATCGGCACAAGTGTATCAAGATACCATTCTTGAGAAGGTAGTGAAGCCACTTAACAACACCATGTTCAATAATCAAGAATGGTCCTTCCAGCAAGACACGGTGCCAGGTCATAAAGCTCGGTCTACGCAGTCTTGGTTGGAAACGAACGTTTCGGACTTTATCAGAGCTGAAGTCTGGCCGTCGTCTAGTCCCGATCTTAATGCGCTGGATTATGATTTATGGTCAGTTTTAGAGAGTACGGCTTGCTCTAAACGCCATGATAATTTGGAGTCCCTAAAACAATCGGTACGATTGGCAGTGAAAAATTTTTCCATGGAAAGAGTGCGTGCTTCTATTGATAACTGGCCTCAACGTTTAAAGGACTGTATTGCAGCCAATGGAGACCACTTCGAATAAGCTTTTTATACTTTAAATTGTTTTATATTTATGTATTAAACTAACACACTGTAAAAGTAATAAATGTTATTTGCCATTGAATAGTTAATTGAATAGTTCCTTGGTGTTGTGTAATAAACCAGGGTAAGTGTTTTATAATTTATTCTCCACACTGTGTCCACAAACTGTAATTAAATAAAATTTAACATTACTATGTTTTATCGCGTAGGTCCTAGTAACTGGTACATAATATGTACAACAGTTAGGGTGCGGAGAGTGATCTTCAGTTCACCTTCAAGATCCCACAGTACCTTACTGTGTGGACGCTGCCGGAAGCGAGGTGCTCTGGCTAGGCGATCCAAGAAAGGATACTTGACTACGGTAGACTAAGAACACACCCGCATTCACAGCCTTGCTCGAATTCAGTAACCCCAGTTGCTGGGAAGCGATCCGGTGAAGCCTTCATTGTTTCTTGTTAACTAAGTTAAATCGGTGAAGCCTTTATTGTTTCTTTTTAACTAATTTAAACTAATTTTCTTTGTATATCTTTCTCGTGTGTTCGGTATACCTACCGAAACACCTGTAACATTGTACCTGACCACTCACTAGAACTTTGTAAACTATTGTAATAATTTTAACCTTAATATTTGTGTGGAATAAACACCACATTGTTATTTTTAATTGTTTTAATTTATTGGTATAAGTCTCCCAGAGCGGTAAGTGGTGGCGCCCTGAGATCCTCCTCAACGAGTCTCCTGTTCACCGGTTGTCTACCGGTGGTGACGTTTCTTGAAGTGGTGCGACTCGGCCCCGTGTCTCTCGACCCATAGACCACCTTTTGGGGAGTGACGCGACTGGGCCTCATGTAACATCGGCATACCAGAGGCACCCTTAGACACAGGCACGTTATAACTTAAAGAGTCACTACCCGCTCTATACGCCCAGAACGTAATACAACAAGACGAATAAGACCCATACTAGAGGTCGCAAACCGCCATACATGCGCAAAACGCAAAACAATAAACGAATTAGGCCCACAAAGCAATCAAAAAAAAAAGAAACAATCTCCCAACTAAATTTTAACCTCCGTGTAGGCTTATTTTTTTAATTCATCACACAAACGTAGACAGAGACCGAAGCGTAACAACTTTTTAAATAAAAATTTTTGTCGATGAGAGAAAGAAAGAAAAAAAAATCTAAACCAATACATATTCCGAAACACTACGTATCAAGGAAAACAAGAATCGAGCCGTTAACGGTGACGACTATGATAAATATACGAACAATTGATTAAAACGAAATTAATAAACTAAGCGGCATTGCGACTATGTCTAGTCTTTTGCGAATTTGTTACACTACTCATCACTTATATTGTCGATCATTCTGACTTTATTTAAAAAAAAAAACTTTGTATAATTTTAAGCACTCGATTAATTTGAGAAGATCTGAAATTAATGAAGATTCATACTGTTACCAACTTACTTAATTATAATATAATCTTAAGCGTGAGAGATTAGATATGGCATCGGCCAGCGCAGTCCTGTATAAAAGCGAGAAGTGGAGCAGTGAAACCGTCTGTCCCTTCGCGTTCCAAGATGAAGCTCTCCGTTATAATTCTGTTCAGCCTCGTGTCCGCAGCCCTCTGCTACGAGGAGCCTCTGCGCTACTACCACGAGAACGTGGGCATCCCAGAGGCAGCTCGCATTAAGCAGGCGGAGGAAGCTGTAGACTTTGACGGCTCCAGGATTGTGGGAGGCTCTGCGGCCAACCTCGGCCAATATCCTTACTTGGTATGTCTAATTAATTTTCACTAAATTGAATAAAGTTGATCTGCTTATAAATAAGAAAAGATATACTTCTGTTCAATAATAAATTTAAAATGCAGATTTCTACATCAAGACATGTACCTACAAAATTTGTTGCCAGAATTTAATGTAGGTATTTACCTGCATAAAATTATAATATAGTGGATAATGTTTTCAGGGAGGTCTTATTATAACCTTGACGACCGGTGCACAGTCCGTCTGTGGCTCCTCTCTGCTGACCAACACTCGTCTGGTGACGGCCGCTCATTGCTGGTTCGATGGCAGGAACCGAGGTCGTCAGGTCACCGTCGTGTTGGGCTCCGTACGCCTCTTCTCCGGCGGCACTAGGATCAACACGCCCAACGTTCAAATGCACGGCAACTGGAACCCTTCCACAATCGCCAATGACGTTGCTGTTATCTCAATTAACCACGTGGGCTTCTCCAGTGAGTTCATACATCAACTAATTTGCTAAGACGTAAAGGCCTTGCCGAGAAATCGAAGTAAATGAACTTACCTGAATCGCTCCACAGACACGATCAACCGCATCAACCTGGCGACCGGTAGCGCCAACTACGCCGGTACCTGGGCTCAGGCTGCTGGATTCGGACTCACAGCTGACAGTAAGATAGCGTTCATTATGTAATTAGATGGAATGTTATAAGTAATTACCTTACGTTACGTATACTCGTATGTTTCAAGCTACGACTTGTAACGACGTATGTGTTGCTAGGCGAGATATAATACATTTTTTACATTTGCAGATGCCGGTATCACCACGAACCAGGTCCTGAGCCACGTCACCCTGCAAGTTATCACCAATGCCGTGTGCAGAGGGACCTTCGGTACCAGAATCCGCGACTCGACCATCTGCACCAGCGGAGCCAACGGCCGCAGCACCTGCCGCGGAGACTCCGGCGGCCCGCTCTCCATCTCCAGCGGCGGACGGCGCCTGCTGGTCAGTCACTCTTCACGAATGAGTACAATGCTGTATCTATGCAGATACCTCAGTGTTTTCAATATCACTTTTACTTAGTAAATATGTACAGATTACTGGTTGTTACAGATCGGCATCACCTCGTTCGGTGCTGCTTCCTGCCAGCGCGGCTTCCCTGCTGCTTATGCCAGAGTTACGTCCTTCGCTTCCTGGATCAACTCCAGACTTTAAACGGAACTCATCAATTGCTTCTTCTCAATAAATTACTATAAAATTTAAGTAGAATTTCTCATTTTATTCTTGTTCTTTATTCACGCTACAGGTCATATTTTCGTCGAGCTGCTACTAATACCACTTAAGTTCAAACTGTTTAGTTTCCAAGTGACGAAAGAAACTGACTGACTGAACATAAAGGATATTTAGCGCTTAACGCTTCCTATCTTTAAATTTAAATAACACAAAGTGCGTGTGACATATCAGAGAAATTGTATTATTCGTTTGATAGACCTATTGTCGGCATTATGCGTGGAATATACCATAGCATCGTCTAAACCTCCGCCACGGCTTTTCTGGGTGGAGTACATACGAAATGTCCAATTTTCCACGACTCTGGCGCATAAATCAGGCTGAATTTGACCGACAGTTTGGGCTGTGTTGGCTTTGAAGACCGCTATGGTTTGTGGCTTATTATACACCTGCGACTTAAGAAAACCCCATAAAAAAGTCTAACGGGGTCAAATCACCGGATATCCGTGGTCAGTTCACATCAACTCCACGTCAGATGAGCATACCCTCAAATCGCCAATGCCGTGACGCTCAATGACCTACAAGCCATTTGTATGCTGCCTAAGACTTTGCAGGAAGTAGTATCTTCACAGCTAATTAACTATATCGAGAAGCGTAACATATTATATAACTATACTGAGACCTTAGAACTCATATCTCAAGGTGGGTGGCGACATTTACGATACGGATGTCTATGGACTCCGGTAACCACTTAACACCAGGTGGGCCATGAGCTCGTCCACCCATCTATGCAATTAAAATATTGCCTGAATACCAGTCCGGGTTCCAGAGACCGCGCGGTACTGCAACTGCTCTTAGATGTGACTAATAATGTGCTTGCTGCACAAGATCAGGATATGTATACGGTTCTGGTACTTCTGGACTTCTCTCGGGCTTTCGATAGCTTGAATATTGACTCTTTCTTCTTTACCCAATTGTGTTACTACAGCTTAAGTGCGGATACCATCAACTGGTTCCCCAGCTGTTTGACTGACCGACTAAAACTGGCAGGAATTCGTAGTGGTGAAGGTAATGTCCGATCCAACATGGCTAATGTTAATAATGGGGTCCCACAGGAGTCGATTCTGGGTCCACCGCTGTTTATAATATTGTTGACCACACTCCACTCCGCCCCACTATTGTTAATACTACATACCTATATGGTCGTGCATTCAAAACATCCGAGTCGTCACTAGCTCTGGCAAAAATTACAGCCGACTTAAATACTTAAATCACTCTTCTTGAGTCCCAGCAAGACTAGATATAGTGTGTTTAGAAATGAATGGAAAGTTTCAAGACATGATTACAATAAATTAAATATAAGAAGTGTTCCCATACAGAGGGTTTACGGTGCATGTAACTGGGGCCTACTGATGGAAAGGGACCTGGGAGCTGGTTCTGATGCAACTAGTTGAGATACTGACACTGATCCTCACGACGCTGAATTATGTCGACGTGGTATAGGGACCCAGCCTGCTTACATTACAGAGAGTACAGAATGTATGTATCGCGCCGCGATCCCATGTAACGCCGATAATGAATTGAAGTAAAATGTTGTATCTCAAGTTGAGAAGGAAGTTGCACTCAGCTTGTTTGTTGTTTGGAGACGTGAAATTCCAGAAACCCGAAAATTACTTTCATCGCCACATAAATTGCTTAGGAGTTGGTGGTAGGCAGTCAGGTCAGCGTTCGCAAATGTTAACGACTCTTGGACTCTGCTCTGCTGCTTTTAGAGGTAGCTTCCGTTGCCTGGCATCTAAATGTTGGAACATTATTCCTCCATCTATCCGGCACCAGGAAATAAGTTAAGTTATTTTAAAACGTATTTAAAAATGCATCTTCTGAATACGCAGATAAATTTGAAAACATAAATATCAACTACATATTCCTTCCTATAATTGAGTATTGTAATTGGATTGTATGTGTACTGATTGTCCGGAGGCCGTTCCAGTTTCACCAGGACCGGTGGGCGAGCAAAGGCTCAGCTAGGAGGGGTGGGATTTCCTAACAGTTTCCCGAGCGCCTCTGAAGGAGATCTGACAACTCACGAGCAGCTGCTTCGCGAATGAATCTACTACCGGATCGGAATCGGGACCCGAAGATCCGGCGAGAAACTGAGCGGGCTGATGCGTGGGTAATTGGAATTTACAAACAATACAAATGTATGTTAATCTACATTAAGTACTATTGGAATTAGTAATANGGTGGGATTTCCTAACAGTTTCCCGAGCGCCTCTGAAGGAGATCTGACAACTCACGAGCAGCTGCTTCGCGAATGAATCTACTACCGGATCGGAATCGGGACCCGAAGATCCGGCGAGAAACTGAGCGGGCTGATGCGTGGGTAATTGGAATTTACAAACAATACAAATGTATGTTAATCTACATTAAGTACTATTGGAATTAGTAATAATGTAACATATTTAATTGCTGTTATTGCTATTTTCTTTCACCATTATTCTTTTATTTTACATCGTTGTGATGTCATATTGCCATATCATTGTCATATCATTTAAGTCAGAACCATTTTACTTGTATTTCGTTCGTTTTATATTTTGGACTACCTCCTACCTTTGAAAAAAGATTCCTATTGATATATTGGAATGAATGGTCGGCCGGTTTGATGCCGACAGGAGATCAGCGTCGCAGTACCGACTGAGTTTATGTATGTACTTATATACATATATGTAAAGAAATACCTTTAGTATTAATATTATAGCAGATTAATATTAACGCCATCTATCGCCGAATAGCAGAAACGAATACCAAAAGAATTTTTTGATTTTGTTTCTTTTTGTTATTTCTTTTTTTGTTGTTTTTTCTTTTTCTTGCAGTAATTGCGCCCCATCGCCACCTGTGTTCAATCGAATCGCTAAGTTCCAAGAAATTGGGGCCTCGCCGCAAGGCGAGTGTCTTTAAGACCCGGAGCAGCCCCACCTGGGCAATCAGCCATCATAGACGCTGTATTTGCGGAATTCTTCCGGCTTCGCTACCCAAAGCTCACTTCCGAGTTTCTGGCCTTCAAGGTCGATCACGCCCCGAGCCCTCTCGCGGCCTTCATCGTACCTGCCGCTCCCGCGTCGCCTATACTGGCGCGTAAAACTTCTGCGCCGTCCGCCGTGGTCACGGTTCCCCCCGCCGATCATCCGCGGCCTCCATCGCGCCCGTCTCCTCGGCCTCCGACTCTGACTCGGACATGGAGGTCGCCCTCGCCTCCGCTTCATCGACGGATGGATTCACCCTGGTACAAAAGGGTAAGAAGCGCGTCGCGGAGTCCCGAGCTCCCGCGACCGCTAAAATTAGTAAAGCCGCGAACGCGTCGCGCCCTCGCCCTCCGACCCCCGTCGCTTCCTCTGCGCGTGCCACACCGTCGCCACGTTCAGTGGCACAAAATAAAACTCAGACCCCTCCCTCGGTAATCCTTCAAGAGAAGACAGCTTGGGACCGAGTTTCCCTGGCCCTTAAGGCCAAAAAAATTAATTTCACGAGTGCCCGTAACCTTGCGAACGGCATCTAAATCAAGGTTCAAACACCCGACGACTATAGGGCCCTCTCTTCTTAACTCCGTAAGGAGCGTATAAGTTTCCATACGTAAACACTCCAGGAGGAGCGCGAACTCCGTGCCGTCATACGTGGCGTTTCACTACAAGTTCTGCTATCATTGTTCGGAATTCGGCACAGTAGACATCTGCCGTTATTGCTTGATCAGATCAGAGAAAGCTATAGTGAAAAACACCATGCTGAGACCACCAAACAGTTACCTTTTTATTGGTAAGCTTTACTTTAGGACACTGTTGCGGCGTTTGACCTGGGGTCAGCCATTGCATTTTTCGCTTACGGTTATCATAAAGAATCCACTTTTCATCATATGTCACAATTCGATCTAATATTCCTTCATTTCTGTAACGATTTAACAAGGCAACACAAGTTTCAACACGCGTTTCATTCTGCAGATCAGTCAAATCATGAGGCACCCATTTTTCATATTTTTTTATTTTATTGATTTAACGCAAATCAGTTAATATTGTTGGTAAGGTAACATTAAACCATGCCGCTAATTCCTGAGTAGTTCGCATCGGCTTCCACCATCTCTTTCAATTCATTGTTATTCACATGTGTGGGCGGTCTTCCATGTAGTTCGTTCTTCAAATTAAAACTTCCATCACGAAAGCTTTTACACCAAAACCGCACAGTGGGTTCATTAGCAGTCCCCTCTCCGAACATTGCATACGCAACATTGATATTGCGAGCTGTTTCTGCAGCGTTAGTTCCCCGCCGGAACTCGTATTCAAGAATCACTATGGGGAGTGCTCTGAGGAATTGTTCGAGATGATACCAACGTCTCGTTTTTACCATCGCACCGCCCGCCACCGGAGTAGAGTTCATCCATACTACCTGGAGCCACTGCGGTCATCCACAGTGCGTTTCCAGAGGTCTTTTTGCCACATACCATCCGGCTATGGAATGAGCTCCCCTCCACGGTGTTTCCCGAACGCTATGACATGTCCTTCTTCAAACGAGACTTGTGGAGAGTATTAGACAGTAGGCAGCGGCTTGGCTCTGCTCCTGGCATTGCTGAAGTCCATGGGCGACGGTAACCACTTACCATCAGGTGGGCCGATCGCTCGTCTGCCTACAAAGGCAATAAAAAAAAAAACACTAGAACTTTCGAAGTATCCATCTTTCTTGTCTAAGCTGAATAAAAAAAACAACTGAAAGTGGATAATCGAATGTTGCACATTTTTTTTAAAGAAGAACCTCTTAGGTACCCTTTGAAAATCGTTTCATTCAAAACTTTCAAACCACGAAGGCAATATCATACTTCAACCCCTATTAATTGCTTTTAAATGATGTTATTTGTAACAAAAGTTATTCAAGAAAATTTTATGCCAACTTTCAAAGTAAGTATATTGAAAAACAACGGACTTTTACCAACACGTTTCTGA